AGGCTTCTGTGGGAGTCTCTGTGTTGCCAAAAACATTCTGGCCCTCTCTCTCAACTGCACTCTATTGTGGTACTGGAAACTGAACTAGGCCATTCTACCACTGAGCTATATCCCTGATCTTTTTTGTTTTGAGACAGGGTCTTGCTAAGTTTCTTATGCATCCCTGGAACAGGCAACCCCCCTGCCTCAGCTCCCTCAGTTGGTAGGGTAACAGACAAGCACCTGCTTGACCTTATCTCTAAACAAGATGCCCCTTTCCAGTCCTGACCCTTAGCCCTGGTCAGCAGCTCCACTGAATGAAGTGCCAAGGACTCAGCATACCCACAGCTCTGCCCAATGTCCCCAGGCTTCACTAGCAGTCAGTGCTCCCTGGAACTCATTAGCAATCTGGGAGGTGGGATAAGGAAAGCCTTACCTCTGCTTTATAGGAGGCCAGGCTCAGTTTTTAACTCTTGAAACCACTTCTCTCTTAAGAGGTAGCATAGTTTACAGGTGAAGAGCACAGACTCTGAGGCCAGCCTTCCTGACTCACTCGCCAAGTTGCTTTACTGCTCCATGTCTCAGTTTATCATCCATAAATAAGACTGATGACCATGCCTATCTCTTAGAAGTGTTATGAGTTAATATTTATCATGGGTTTAGGACAGTGCTTGCTTGGCAGGTGTTTGTGAAATAAACTGAACCACTGGCAACAAATAAATGCCTCCCTTTCTCCCTTTCTCATCCTACCCTCTCCTAGTCCCATTCCTTAGGTTCTCACTAGGGGGCCAGGGTCCACAGTCTGCTGCTGCCTCTGAAAATCCACTTTTCTGTTCAAGGCTGCCTTGGGCCATAATGCTGGTACTTTAAAAAGTGGGCAGAGCTGGATGTGATGGCATATACCTGTAATCCTGAAGGATGACTGCCCTCAGTTCAAGGCCAACCTGAATTAATAGAGAAACTTTGTTTCAAAGAAAAGAAAAGAGGCTGGGGATTTAGCTCAGCGGCATAAGAGCCTACCTTGCAAGCAGGCAGTCGTGAGTTTGATCCGTGGTACCGATAAAAAAGAAAAAGACAAAAAAAAAAAAAAAAAAAAACCTTAAAAGAAAAGAAAAGAAAATGGGCAGAACTGGGCTCACCCCCAGCTGGTCCTCAGTCCCTGAAGGAAAGATGTCCCTAAGCGTAGGCTGTGGTGAAATCCATGTGTGATCAGCTGGCTCTCTGTCTCTCTTCCTTCTAGCTGAGTTTGCTAGCGGAGTTTCCTGGACACTGAATGCTCAAGACCCACCTCCCACCAGGAGCCCTACTTCCTGGGCTCTGGTCCTACTCCCCACTAATCATGAGTTTCATGCTCTGCCCAAATGGTCTCAGACCATACAACAGTCATTCCCCACTTGGAACCTCTGCTTTACACCATAACCGCCGGCTTTCTGGCCGTGTCCTAGAAGGGCTGTAACTGTCTCCTTCCCTCCGCTGCATCCCAGCGCTACTGCGCTCACCTCCAGCCTCATTCCCACTGCGCCTCCTCCTGGCTTCTCTGCACACAGCCACTGGGCCTGCTACTGAGCTCCGGATTTGCCGTTCTCTCGCCAGGGCCTTCACCAGTGCTTTTCTCCCTACCCAGAATGCCCGCTCCTCCTCAGGTCCTCTCCTGGCTCCTTCAGGACCCAATTCCCCATCACTTCCTCCAGGAAGCCTTGTGTTTGGGGTCCTGGATGGGTAGGTAGGCGGCCCTCCTGTGGAGTTTCCCACCACTTGCATTTTCTCACTGGTTCCCTATATGTAGCTTCTCTAAGTAGTCTGTGCTTTCCGCTGCTCTGTAAAGCTTGATCAGGGCAGGTCACCTTTACCTAATTTGCTGCTCAGCACCGCACCAGTACAGCACAGTTAGGGAAGGCCTCTGGGTGCAGCTTAATGGTACAGCATTTGCCTCGCATTTGTGAGACTCTGGGTTACACACACACACACACACACACACACACACACACACACGTATACACAAAGGGGAGGGGCTTATGTTTGGAGTCTATGAGGTTCTGGGGATTCATGAGGCTACTGAAATCGTGTGATAATGTTTGCGCTATAGTGTATTATTTCCAGGGGGTAGTCTATATTTTTATCATAAGTTCAAAAGACATGAGACATCCCCTCAAAAGTGTAGGCATTCCATAAAAACTTGCTTTGATTGGATGTGTCCATCTGAATATATCACTGATACTCAATAAACAGTTATTGGATAGGTGAATGAAGAAGGCTCCTCCTCAGAGTTAGTGTGTTCTTAATGTTTTCAATGGGTCAAGAATAATCTCAGAGGAAGCCTCTGCCAGGAAAGCTAAAGTGATCCACGTTTCAACCCCTGGCCCTGCGGCCCTAAGAACCCCTCCCCTCTGCGCAGCCCACTGCTTATGACACGCAGTCCCTGGCTCCCAGCCCCTGCTTGAACCCAGCTCCCGCCCTGAGATTCACCTACTGCGCCTTTGCAGCCAGTCTGCTGAAAATGGCCCTGGTGAAAGCAGGGAGTAAGGTGGCAGCAGGAAGGAATCTGGCAACAGCACTGACTAGGAACAGTGCCCCCTGCTGACTGGCCGGCTCCCCTTCCGCAGGCCTCGAGAGCCCAAGGGCTGCAGGACCGAGGTCCAGGTCAGGCCGCGGAAAGGGAGCGAGGCCAAGGAGTCGTGCGCCCCCGGCATCTTCCCTTGGGCCATGAGGCTTTGTCTTCAAGATGGGTCGGAGACTTCTGCTTTGGCGGTCTCTGCGCTGGTTTCCTAGCTGCTGCCTTCTGCTCCCGGATTCTTTTAAGGAGGCAGGGGCGAGGAGGGGGTGGATGGAGGCTCTGCTGGAGCTCCAGGGAGGTCCAGTCTTTCAAGCTTGGCTCTCTTATCGATTTCTTTTCCCCGAGTCCTGCTACTGCCGACACCTTTGGATCCTGAGCCAATTCTCCGCATCGCCTACACTTGGCTGCGGTGTACCAGCCTCCCTACATCACCATGGAAACAGGAGCTCTGCATCCATCCCAGACCTGATTTGTGAAGCTATAAGAATCCGGAGTTCAGGGAGGGGGTGCAGAGAGATACAGAATTAGCCAAAGGGAAAACGGTCACAGAAATGGGCAGGGGGTTCCCTCAAGGTGGAGGGGTGTGCTTTATAAAGGTTGTTGAATGACTAGTACCCTGTGAAAAGGGTCAGATTCCTTGACAGGCCATAAGCCTTCATGGGTCATCAGTCCACCCGACTCCTCCCCTCACGCTGTCATTTAGGAACCATGGGACCTCAGGTTAACCCCTTTAAGTAGCACTTTTCTCATCTGTAAATAAAAATAATAGCGGCACTTACTTCACTGGGCTATTCTAGGAATCCCATGAGGTAATGCACACCCAGCGCTTCCTTCAGCGCTTAGCACATAATGAGTGCTCCAAAGTGTAGCTGTTGCTGTACATGCTTTTGTATCTCTACTTATTATTTCCATTAGTTCCTCTGGTAAGTTGCCAGCCTCTCCAACAACAATGCGTTCATCATCCCTTCCAGTTTTAGAGAGCTTTCACAGACACTGTCCCATTTCTCCTACCCCAATCCTGAAAAGCAGGGAGGGGTTCCTTTCCTGCTTTGCAGATGAGGATACATTCAGAACAGAAGTTTATTCAAAGCTTGTCTCTGACCTGGCGCTGAAAGGCAGGGCTCAGTAGAACAGGAGTTGATTGCCCTGCACACTGATGAACTCTCTCTGCATCCCTGTGCCCGGCACAGTGGCCCTATCAGCACCTACCTTGTGACACTGCTTCCCTGAGTGAGGTCTTCTGTGAAGAGCTAAGCCCAAAACATGGGTGTCTGGGATTGGCCATCATGGAAGCAAATACTCTTAACTGAATCTATGTTTCAAAAAACCAGAAAAAAAAATAACCTCACAAATGGGAAGTGCTGGCAGCTTCCTTATGGGTTAGTGAAAATGTTTTAAAATTGATTGTGGGGATGGCTGCGCAACTCTGCAAATACACTAAAATCATTTAGCTATTAAAATGGGGATTGTTTTGCAATAAATCTACTGTTTTTTATTTGTTTTGAGATAAGGTCTTTATTTTTGTGTTAGCAACAAACAGAAAGCCCTTCAAAAGACGTCATTTAGGTTGAATAAAGGCACCAAATATCTAAGAATAATTTTAACAAAAAACACCCCTACCAGAAATAGTATATATACCAAACTTCAAAAGAAATGAAGGGAGATGTAAGTAAATAGAGGGATATAACATGTTCATGAATTAGAAGACACACACAAAAAGAGTTTTCTCATTTTAACTTATCTAGATCACTGCAATCCCCCATTGAAAAGCTGATTTATGAATTTATATAGTAACTCAAAGGAAGCTGGGCATGATGGCACATGCGTAGGATCCCAGCACTCAAGAGGCTGACCTAGAGAATCGCCATGAGTGGAGGTCAGTTCGGGTTATATAATGAGTTCAAATCCAGCCTGAATTACATAGTGAGACCTGGTCTCAAATAACAAAAACAAAAACCAAAAGGTAGGAAATCATCTTCATGATTTTAGGATAATCTTTTTTTTTTTTTTTTTTTTTTTTAGACAGGGTCTCACTACATAATTCAGGTGACCCACGCTGACCTCAAACTCATAGAGATCCTCCTGTCTTAGCCTTCTGAGTGATGGAATTATAAACATGCGTTACCATGCCCAGCTTCTTCTTCTTTTTTTTTTTTTTTATCAGTACCAGGGATCGAACTTGGGACCACGCACTTGCAAGGTAGGCGCTTATGCTGCTGAGCTAACTCCCCAGGCACTCCCAGCTTCTTCTTCTTCTTCTTCTTTTTTTTTAAATTTTATATAAAAGGAAAAAGAGAAAAAACAAAACAAAACAAAGCGGTGTAAGGGTACAAGTAATACAGAACTACAAAAAAACAAAACAAAACAAAACAATAAGAAATCACCAGTTAATAGATTACACATTATCGTCTTACAGGTAGTTGCTCAAGTCGCAGTATCAAAGCATACAAAGTGGACATTCAAACAGTGAGACTGCAAACAGTTGTATTCAATGATCCAACCAAAAACATTAATATGGTCAGCTATTTAACACCCTTAAACACACTTGCAGTTGTATCCTTTAGCGCACTTTTTTCCCCTCTCTTTTTTACAACAAAATTTACACATTTTGGGTTTTATTACTTTCTTAGTTCTTATTTCCCAGCTTCTTCTTAAACGGTTAAAAAAAAAGTGTCATAATTCTAGCATTTGGGATGCTGAGGCAGGCGGATGGTCATGAGTTCGAGGCCAGCCTGGATACTGACGTGAGTTAAATCCAGCTTGTACTACATAGTGAGACCCTGTCTCAAAAAACTAAAAATAAGAAAAAAGAATGAACAGTATGCAAGAAACAAAAACAAAAAAAATTTGAGGTTGTAACTCAGTGGTAGAGTGCTTGCCTGTCATATACAAGACCCTGGGTTCAATATCCAGCATTGCAAAAGAAAAGGAAAAAAACAAAAAGAAAAGACTGAGTATTGTTATGTGAATTTGTTTTGTTTTCTCTCTCTTATTTATTTTTGGCTTTTTGAGACAGGGTCTCTCTATGTAGTTCGGCTGGCCTTGCAATCCTTCTGCCTCAGCCTCCCAAGTGTTGGGATTACAGGTATGTACCACTATGCCTGGCTGTTGTTTGTTTCTTGAGATAGAGTCTTGCTGTGTAGTTCAGGCTGTCCTCAAAATTATTAGGCAGTCCAGGCAGCCTTGAGCTCCACATCTTCTCCTCTTGGCTTCCTGAGTGTTCAAAGCACACCACGACACCCAGTAAATGTTTTTAATTAATAATTTTTTCAGTACTGGGGATTGAACTCAAGGCTCTGGCACTAAACTACATCAGCACTTTTGTTTTTTCTTTTTCTTAATTTTGAGAAAGAGTCTCAAAAATTGCCCAGACTGGGCTCAAATTTATAATCCTCCTGCCTCAGCTTCCCAAAACTCTTGGGATTACAACTGTACACCACCACACCTTTGTTTACTAAAAAAAAAAAAAAAAAACAAATTTTTTTTTTTGGTACTGGGGATCAAACTCACAACTTCATGCTTACCAGGAAGGCATTTATGCCACTCAGCTAAATCCCCAGCCCCTAAAATTTTTTTTTTTTAAAGAAAAGAAGCTGGGAATTTAGCTCAGTGGCATAAGCACCTGCCTTGAGAGCAGGCAGTCGTGAGTTTGATCCCCGGTAACGATAAAAAATAAAGAAAGAAAAAAGAAAAGAAAGTGAAAAGGTAAGTCACAGGCTAGAAAAAGAAATTTGGAATACATATACTGATAAAAGGACTTTTATCCAAAATGTAAAATTAACTACTACAAATCAATAAAAGACATACAACCTAGAATAAAAATATACAGAAACTGTAATAGATACACCATGAAAGAGGACATCCAAATGGCAAATAAACATGGAAAAGAGCAAATCCGGATTTGGGTTCCCTACTCATAATGTTTCTGCCAAAACTACCATCCAGGATTTACAGGGTGTCACAGTGTTCCACATGGCCTCACCTCTGATCAAAGAGTTCACTTCACAACAGCCAGACTGAGGCGAGGGCCTGAGGTTACCTGGCACAACCCTGCTCCTTACCAGTCTGACTGGAGGAAACAGTAGCGCAGGCTTTAGCTCAGAGCTGGCAAGTTGGCAATGCCCACGAGGCTCAGGCCGGCTTCCCACCCTTGGAAGCAGTCTCTAATCTACAGTGTCATTTCTCCCATAGCCAAGACTCTCGGGTCTAGAAATCAAGAGCTGGAGATGGTAGTGACACCACTCACTATTATGTCTTATGAAACACTGGCAAAATTTTGGTTCCCTGTTCCCCTGATCTCATTCTTTGCAGACCTAGAGGTCTTAGCTCCACAATGGTGTGTGTCTGTGATCACAGCACTCAGGAAGCTGAGACAGGATAGGGAGTTCAAATCTAAGCTGACTACATAGTTGGACGCTGTCTCACTGATGACACAGCAATGTGTCCACAGGACTAGAAACTGAGACTGTTGCCTGACCACCTTGGGCTCCTCATATATCTGAACTAACAGGCTAAAAGGAAAATCTGAGGGTCGAGGAGTGGGGGAGGTCGTTCAGTGGTAGAACATGAGAACCTGGTTCCCAGCACTATAAAAAAAGTGTGTGTGTGTGTGTGTGTGTGTGTGTGTGTGTGTGTGTGTGTTAGAAGCAATAGCCGCAGCTACACCTCCCTATAATCTCAGGACTCTGAGAGGCCGAGGCAGGAGGATTATACATGTGTGGCCAATCTGGGCACTGGGCAACCTAGCAACTTAAAAACTGGTTTTTTCTTTATTGCACACAAGGTAATTATATTATTATTATTATTATTTTGGTACTGGGCACTGAATTTATGACCTCATGCTAGCCAAGCAGGCACTTGTGCCACTGATCTAAACCCCTGGCAAGATAACTATTACATTAGACAGAACCATGTCCTTATTCTTATCATATTTGTTTGCTTTTTGAGATAATTTATTGCTGGGTAGGTTAGCCCTTGTTCTATTCTCTTGCCTCAGCCTCTTGAGTGCTGTGATTACAAGCATGTGCCACCATACCAGGCCTTGATATTATCTTTATTTAGAGATTATATATGGCTTAAGGAAGTGTACCAAGTCGACAAGGAGTGGGCCTATGATGGTCTGTCTTTCTTTCTTTCTTTCTTTCTTTCTTTTTTTCATTCTTCCTTCCTTCCTTCCTTCCTTCCTTCCTTCCTTCCTTCCTTCCTTTTTCCTTTTTTGGGGTACTGGGGATTGACCCAGAGCCTCCACAAGTGAGCTATAATTCCAATCCTTTTTTATTTTTTGAGATGGAGTTTAGCTAAATTGCTAATTTACTATATATAATGGGCTCAATCTCTCGCTCCTCAAGCCTTAACCTCGTGGGAGTGGTTAATTTTATGTGTCACCTTGACCAAGTGACGAGTACCTACACATGTGATCAAACATTGTTCTGTGTGTGCTGGGGAGGGTGTTTCTATGTAAGATTAATACTTGAGTCCATAGATTGAGTAAGGCAGCCATTCTCTTATTGTTGGGGGACTTCACCTGGTTTTTGAAGATCTGGGTAGATGAGAAAGGTGAGGAAGAGGGAATTCTCCCTGCGCACCGGGTTTGAGTTGGAACCTTAGTTTTCTCTGGCCTGACTCAGACTGAAATAACAGCTGTTCTTGGTCTTCAACTGGCCCACTTCCAGGCTGGGTGCTCCTAAGTCTCCAGTTTGCCAACTAGAGATCTTCTCAGTATCCAAAATCATGTGAGCAAATTCCCTCTAACAAATAAACACGCACTCTCTCTCTCTCTATTGGTTCTGTTTCTCTGTAAAAGCCTATATGAGCATTACATTTTGTTCATTTGATTACATATTTAAAAATAATTTTGAGGCAAGCATGGTGGTGCACAATTTGGGAGGCTGAGGCAGAAGGATTGTTGTAAGTTCAAAACCATCCTGAACTACATAGCAAAATCCTATCTTAAAAAAAAAATTTTTTTTTGAGCAGGATGTGGTGGCACATGTTTGCAATCCCAGCATTTGAGAGGCTAAAGCAGGATTACTGGGATTTCCAGGCTAGCCTGGACTATGTAGCTAATTCGAGGTTAGTCTAGGCTAGGCTTTTGAGATTCCATCTCAAAAGAAAAAAATGATATTATGATTTTTGTTTTGTTTCATTTTCCTGGTGCTGGGGATCCAACGCAGGAACTCACACATGCATTCTACAGCTGAGCTATCTCACCAGTCCTTTTTATTTTTGTTTTGCAATCTTCTTGCCTCAGCCTCCCACGTAGCTAAGATTACGGGCACATAACACTGCACCCAACCAAAATTAATTTTTGATAGATGGAAGGACCCTTTCACAAAAACTGACCGCGGTCCTCCAGCGGGCAGGGGGCGCTCCGCGCGAGGGCTCTTCTTCCAGCCTCTCACCCGGTCGTTTCAAAGCGATCCTTGTTGCTAGGAGACAAGATGCTTCTTTCCACTGGAGATCTGGATCTCGCGGATTGCTCCACTCTCTGTTGCCCCAGAGCGAGATCTACGGTCTTGCTTTGATAGTGGCCGAAGGCAGTTTCAGAAGGCATCTTTTCAGGGCCTTTTCCTTTTGTCCTTCTAATGTGAGCCAAGGCTCCTTGCCTAGATCCAATCCCTCACCCAGCCATGCCTAAGAAAGGAAAGAATGCCATGACGTCCCTGCCCAATGAGGAGCAGCTGCTTCTGTTTCAGCAGAAGTTGCTGGCCGAGGAGGAGATGGCCAAGAAGAAGGAGAGGCTCCTCAGCCAGTTCTTGAAGGTGATAGTCTTCTGCATACTGACCTGCCCAACCCCCTGCACTAGCCGCTGCCTGGCACTGGCATTGTGACTGGCTCATTTTCATACCAGCATTTCTTTCTCAGGAAATCCTGAGACCCAGGTACACTTAGGTTTCTGTCAGTCTTGTTTAGGAGGCTAGACAGTTCCTTGTGAAGCATGGAGGTAGAGATGGAATAGAGGTTAATGTCTCGACTGAGCCCTAGAACTAGGGTAGTAGGTGCTGTCAGCCATCTTGACTTCTGATATTCTCCCTGGAGATGGAACTGTAAACAACATCCAGGTCTGATGCTTTGTCATGAAGGAAACACACTCTTGCCCTCTCTAAAATGCCATCAGGCAATGTTCCTGACTTACTCCAGGTCCTGCCAAATAAAAAAAGGAACTCCTGAGTATTAACCTTCATGAGCTTTAGGTCCTCAGAAAACACTAGTGGCAAAGTGTCACTTTACAAATTTAGAGCGATCTTGTTCTTTACACTGCGTGGCCAGGGCTCTGGGCATTGACCTCCTGGAGATGTGCTTATGTCTTCTCACAGGACAAGCTGGCCAAGGAGGAACAAAACAGTGCCCTGAACCTTAATAAGATTAACATGCAGTGGAGAACTGTCCTCCGGGAAATCAAGACCAGAGAACTTCACAAGGACATCGAGATCCTCAGCCAAACCTTTGAGCGAGTGATGGACTGCAAGGACAATGTCATCAAGGTAGGCATTCTTCCCAGGGAAACGCTTCCACCTCAGACAATGGTCCTAGTCACTTCGTTAACCAGCCAGTCTTGAAGCCCTCGTGAGACACAGTCTGTGGCAAAGCTAGGGAACTGATTTTCACTGAAATGAAAACTAGAATACTGAGCTCTGGTTTCTCGCTCTCCTCCTTTACAAGAGACACTCTCCTTGAGGTATAAGACAGAGTTAATATGACTCAGTGAATTCAATTTAGGGCCACACATTTACTTCACTGTCAGAAGGCTCAGGTCAAGAGGGGAAACTGACTTTCCCAAGATCACATAGCTAATCATAAAGGGAGCCAAGATAAGAGCATGGGTTGCTTGACTCCCACTTCTGCGCTTCATACTAACAAAACTGTTTGACCAATTTTTGTTTGGCCACTTTGATTCAACTTCGCTGATCATGAAAAGAGTTGGGAAAATCCATACTAAACAATTTTGGATTCCTAGGTAATTCAGTCAGCTGTGTTTATGCTGTTGGGAAGCTCTTGATTTCATGCCTTTCTTCTAAGGGATTTCATTGTAACCCTTATTTCATTCTACTTTTTTTGTCTTTTTTAAAATTTTATTTTAGAATAAAACCACGCAAAATCAAACAGTAAAGCCAATCAAAACAAGACAGTGTAAGGGCTGGGGATTTAGCTCAGCGGCATAAGCGCCTGCCTTGCAAGCAGGCAGTCGTGAGTTCGATCCCTGGTACCGATAAAAACGAAAAAGACAAAAAAAACAAAAAACAAAAAAAAAAACACAAAAAACAAGAGAGTGTAAGTGACACAGGATTTCAAAACAAGGTAATAGGAAATCAACAATGGTTACCATAATACCTCTTGTTGTCTTTAAAATAGCTGCTCATACCTTCAGGCCCAGTAAAATCAAACAAAACATAAACAGAATAGAGCCAATAAAAACAAAACAGTAAAAACAAAACAATACAGGTCTTCAAAACAAGATAATAGTAAATCCAAAATGGCTACCATAATATACCGTGTCATCTTTGAAATAGCCGCCCATGCCATCAGATACAACAAAATCAAACAAGATAAAACAGAATAAAACTTAACTGAGCAAAACAATAAGAATAATACGGAATTTTTTTTTTTTTTTGGTCAGTACTAGAGATTGAACTCACAACCACATGCTTACAAGGCAGGTGCTTATGCCACTGAGCTAAATCCCCAGCCCTGATACAGGATTTCAAAACAAGATAATAGGGAATTAACAATGGCTGCCACCTTCAGAAGGAGATCCCCTAGATGCTACATTGTGTATTGTTATCCTCTGAACAGATGATCGGACTTTAGGCCTGCAGTCAGTGAAACACTGAACACTATGAGCGTTAAGCTGTATTTTACCTCATTAGCTGTCATCACAGCCTGTGTTTCTCTGGATCAGCTGGTCACTTACAGGGGAGTGGGGTAGGGGACGTTGGCTCTTCTTGCGTCTGTGCCCAGGAGCAGGAAGGGGCTGCGTCTGGCTCTCCCTCAGTCAGTCTGCACATGGTGCCGACTCCCAGGAGGTCTTAGCTTCTTGTTGACTTTTTGCTCTCCTCTTCTGAAGTCCTCATTCTACTTTTTATAGCTGTTTCCTGACTCCTCCTCCATCTTTTCCATCTCAAAGAAAACAAAACAAAAATGCCAAAATAACAGCGAATAGATGCTGTCATCATGCTATTCTTCTAGAAAATATGTGTCTCTCCTTGATGGTGTAAGCCTTGGCAAAAAAAAGAAAAAAAAAAAAAAAGGTACAGTGAACCCAAGGAAACTTAGGGAGATGCATATTAAGAGTCATCAAATTTGAAAACATCTTTACACACCAGAAGTCCTCACTCTAGCAGTTATACCTTATAGCATGTGTGTGTGTATGATACTAGGAATTGAATCCAGGGAGCACTGAGCAACATCCCCAGCACTTTGTTTGTCTGTTTGTTCATTGAGACAGGGGCTCATTATGCAGTTCAGGACAGCCTTGAATTGGCTATGTAGCCCACACTGGCCTCAAGCTCACAGTAGTCCTCCTGACTCAGCCTCCCAAGTGCTGGGATTGTAAGCATGCCCCATAGCACCAAGTGACCTTATGGTTTTTTAAGTGGCTTTTTCCAGACCCTATTGGGAATTAACAGATAATTGATGAGAAGAGTCAGTGGTATTCTTTAAGGGATGCAGAGCAGTTGACTGGGTTTGCCCATATACTCCTTGTCTTAGGTAAATCACACACTGCACTTTCAGGGTCATTTCTGAATAACTGAGACTGCACATATTAAATATGTGAATACTAGTTGCTCTCAACTTCTTTGCTTCCCACTTATGCTTTATCCCACAACACGTGATCTCCACTCTAGGAAACTGCACTGGAAAAGGTCACCAGACAGTTACAGCTGCCTTTCATCATTTTTCCTCCTCTACTCTGAGCTCCCTGTGGCCCTGACACCTTAGATCACACCACACATCTCCACACTCCCCTTTGGCTTCCCGGGCACCAGTCTGGCATCTCTTGCCTCCAACACACACATCCGGTCTTCTTTGTGAGTTTGTCTTCCTCTCCATTCCTTGAGCTTCAGTGGTCCTCAGATCTCTGAGCCTGTCCATCTCAGCCTTTAACCAATTGTCTAGGTCCCAGAATTCTTTTTTAGGACCCAGACGATCCAGTCGTCTCAGATTTATATACCAGATTGTAACACCAGCCTGGAGTTTTCTATTGACTTCCAAATCTTTGAGTTCAAGCTTCTGAGGTGTCTATTTCACCTGTTGCAGTAGACTCACAACTGGACTTTCTTCAAATGGCCCCATTCTCTAGAACCTGGGCTTAATAATACTTTTTTTTTTTTTTTTGGTCCTTTTGAGACAGGGTCTCACTATGCAGTTCAGGCTGGCCTTGATCTCACTCTGTAACCCAGGCTGGTCTTGAACTTGCAACAATCCTTCTGTATCAGCCTGCCCAGCTTTTCCTTATACTTTTCTATTTGGATAGCCAGATTCACCAAGTCATCCAACCCAGAAGTGTGGACATCATCTTACTTTGGCCTGAATCTCTGGACCCTGTTCTTGAGTCCTAAACAGATGTTTTCCTTGAGTATTTTTCAGAGCCCTGCCCTGCTGTCCTTCCCCCTTGTCCTGCTGTAGTTGAGACCTGGGCATCATCTCTCATCTGGACGACTGAAGTGGTTTGCTATCTTCCAGCTTTCATGCTCAGCTGCTGCCAGATGATTCCCTGTGTGATTGCCAGGATTAGCTTTCTAAAGCAGAAGTCTAATCCTGTCATTCTATTGCTTAAATCTCCTTAGTGACCCATCTCATTTTCAGGAAAAAAATCCAAGCTCCATGGTCAGAACATAACAGTCCTCAGGATCTGACCCCTGTACTTTTCATGCCATCAGTCTTGGTTTTCTTGGTTGCCTTGTTTGCAGTGCTTGGATTGGACTCGGGCTGTGTGCATGCTAGACAAGTGCAGTTCCACTGAGCTACAAATGTAGCTCAGCCTCTTCTATTTTATTTTGATACAGTCTCCTTATCTTGCTCAGGCTGGCCTTTAGCTAGAATCCTTTTTTTTTTTTTTTCGTACCAGGAATCAAACTCACAACCTCACTTGCCAAGCAGGTGCTTATGCTGCTGAGCTAAATCCCCAGCCCCTTGAACTTGAATCTTTATGCCTCTGCCTCAGTCTTGTTTCTGACCTGTGTCTTTGTACAAGTTATTTTCTTTCCCGGGAATTCCCTTTTCTTTATCTCTTATCTCCTAGCAAACTTTCACTCCTTCTTTAAGGACTGATACAAATAACATTTCTTCAGTGAAGCTTTTCTCAGGGCTGCTAGTCAGATGTAGATACACAGTCCTTTGTACCTCACTGTCACTTAATAAATCATCACTCTCATAGCAACTTCCATGTTGCTGTGTGATTTCCTGCTTATTTTAAAGTTTCTCTACTAGACTGTGAGTTTCTTTGAGAGCAGTGAGTATGTCTTTTCCTCTCAGAACTTTAGCACCCAACACAATGCAGGTACGCAGCAGGGATCTGGGAAACATTTGCTGAGGAAGTCAAGGGTCTCCTACGATCAGCACCTGTTTCATTCTAACTTACATGGCCAAAGCTGGCTGCGCAGACAGGTTCAAGATCCCTGGATCACGTGGTCATTCAATGAGCTGTTTTGTTTCATTTAATTTTAATTTGTTTTATTTTTTGAAAGTAATCATTCACCGTATTCAAAATTCAAAAGATAAAAAGGGTTATTTAGAGAAAATTTTTTCTCCTCCCAGTGCCTTCCAGCCATACAGTGCCCCCTACAACAATTCATTTTGTAAAACTTCATCACAGAAATGATGGTATTACATGTGACTCAAATTAAGCCTTTTCTCCTTTAAAAAAAGTGATGGTATTACACACTGTTCTGCATTTTGATTTTTCTTTCTTTTTTTGGTCTTTTTCATTTTTATCGGTACCAGGGATCGAACTCACGACTCCCTGCTTGCAAGGCAGGCGCTTATGCCGCTGAGCTAAATCCCCAGCCCCTTGATGTTTCATTAATAATACATCTTGAGCATGGTGGTACACATCTGTAATCCTGATCTTCTGGGAGGTTGAGGCAGGAAGACTGCAAATTCAAGCTCAGCCTGGGCAATTTTACAATATAAATAACTAGATCTGTCTATTTGTCTGTCTAAATGTGTGTGTGTGTGTGTGTGTGTGTGTGTGTGTGCACGTGCATGTGTGCATTATTCTGAGGATTGAACCAGGTCCCTCATATTAAGCTATATTTCCAGCCCTTTTTCATTTTGAGACAGAGTCTCATTAAGTCACTAAGTTGCCCAGGCTGGGCTCAAACTTGAGATCCTTCTGCCTCAGCTTCCCAGAGGGCTGGACTACAGGCATGTACCACTGTACCTGACTCTTTATTCTTTAAAAATGCTGTGTATTAATTTATATAGTAGATGAACATGTTACATTGTTCTCTGTGTTTCCTGTATTTTGGCAGTTGGATTGAGAAGCCTGGAGTTGTATTATTCCATCAGGAGGCATGTAATGTTTAGTTATCTCTTTGTGGTGTTGGCAGCTACTAATGATCTATTAATTAACTGAAGGTTTCAAGATGCTGATTTTCTAACAATATTGGTCATTTTAAAAGTATTAGCTCAAATACCAATATGAAAAAATAGTTCCCTCATTTACCACTCAGTTAGCTGGAGATAGCATTTATATAGGAAAGGCAAGATAAAGAATTGATTCTTTCTCTTCCTTTTATTTACTATTTTAAAAAAAAGAATTGGTTACTATCCTCAATGGTTACTTTTTACACTTGATCTTAGCCAAAAGGTGGAGAAGCAATTGGTTACTTTTTAAAGAGCACCTTTATGAACGCATAGCTAAACATATTTAATATTCCTCAATTTTTTTGGAGATAGGATCTTTCTATGTAGTGCAGGCTCACCTTGGTTATGTAGCCCAGGCTGGCCTTGAACTAAGGCAATCCACCTGCCTCAGCCTCCTGAGTGCTGGAATTACAGGAATGTGCCACCATGCCTTGCTGTTTTTCAATTTTCTTTTCTTTTTCTTTTTGTCTTTTTCCTTTTTATCGGTACCGGGGATCGAACTCACGACTGCCTGCTTGCAAGGCAGGCGCTTATGCCGCTGAGCTAAACCCCCAGCCCTGTTTTTCAATTTTCAAGCCAGTGCAATTTTTTTTTTTTTTTAACAGAGTCTCACAGTGTCGCTCAGTGAATTCACAATCTTTCTGCCTTGAATTCACATTCGTCCTGCCTCAGCCTTACAAGTGCTGGGATTACAGGTACAAGCATGATAATGGCCAGCTCTTATCTTTACTGATACTGAGATTTTCTTTTGAGGGGGAGGAGCAGTGGAACTATTCCAGTTATCTATTGCTTCATAACAAGCCACTCTTAAATTAGGACTTGAAATGACAGTTATTATCTTTCCTGGTTCTATAGGTAGACTGAGCTCAGAGGTCCCTCAGGCAAGAACAGTTTCCAGGCAGGTGTCAGCTGGGGCTGACACCTAGACCTGATAGGGCTGGATGTCCTCCATGGCTAGCAGCTGATGCTAGCTGGCAGCTGGATTGCTGACTGTTTTCATGTGGCCCCACCACGGATGCTGGGCTTCTCACAGCACAATGACTGGGTTTTTAGGAGCATCCCAAGAACAAGCATTTCAGGTCCAATAATGGCGATTCTTGAAACTGGCACAGTGCCACTCCCACCATTTTTTTAAAGACAGGGTCTTGCTTTGTAGCCCAGGCTGGCCTTGGACTCACAGTGATCCTTCTACCTCAGCCTCCTGAGTGCTGGGATAGTAGATGTGTGCCACCATGCCTGGTGCTTCCACCATTTTTTATTAATCTAAGTAGTTATAAGGTCCACCTAAATTCAAGGAGATGGAAAAAGAAATGCATGTATCTGTGTGTGTATGTGTGTGATGCTTGGGATTGATCCTGAATCCATGGCTTTGCATATCTGCAAATGCTCCACCACTGAGCTACTTCCCCAACGGTTCTCTAAATTGACCAGACTGGCCTTGAACTTGTGTTCATCCTGTCTTAGCCTCCTGAGTAGTTGGGGTTACTGGTATGCACCACCACACCCAGCTGTGAGTCACTACTTTTTGATAGGGGACTGGCAAGATCATATTGCAAAAATTGTCAGGTGGAAGATACTGCTGTGGTTTGCAAAATGTAATCTTCCACAGTCAGCCACTTCAGGTTGGTTCCCAAATCTGATATATGGTTTTTGATGGCTATCTTATATAATAAGAAATACTAGGTTTGATTTATTTTCTTCCTCAAAGCAGCCATTTCTCCAAGAATCCCTGGTTCCTCTCAGTAGCTCATCCTGTAAGTGTCTGTTGTCTACAGGACCCTGGCTGCTTTCAGGGGGTACCTTGGTGGCACTTTTGCTTCACACTGTGGAGTGAGTGGAGAGCCAGCACTCCCAAGGCCAGAGACTCAGCATTAGAACCTAAGGGGAAAGAGCTGTCAGCCATCCAGTAGCCAGCTGAATATACTTTCCTTTTCTCACACAGATGCCACTTGGCCAGATTTTAACTGTCTGCTTCCCGCCTAGTATTTTTTTTTAATTTTTATTTTTTGTACCGTGCATGGATCCCGCCCAGTCTTTAGCTAAAGACTTGTCTGAGGCCGAGGAACAGTACGCCCATGCCCTGCGCAGTCATCTGCACAACGTTGACCAGCTCTTAGCCCTGCAGAGGCGCCGGCTTAGCCTCCTGGAAGAAAGTTACACCATGGAGCTGGAGGCCCTAACCAAAGAGTTTGAGACAGAAAGGTATGGGAGGGCAGTGAGAAAAGAGGGAAGAATGAATCCATGGGAGAACCCAGAGTCTATGTGAAGGGGCTGCCTGTAAGCCTGGGGCCAGGACTGGGACATCCCATACCCCACTTTGATTGTGACCTGAGCCCTGCAGAACAGAGCCCGAGTTTCTTCCAGATGAACTTGGGTTTAGCCTGCAGCCTCACTTTCCTGCATTCCTACAGGCCCATCTATGTCCCTCTGCCACCCATTTTCACCTGTCAAACCTACTTAGTTGGCAGTGGACAGGGCAGTGAATTTGTACTTGTAAGTTTCTGTATAATCTGAATGTATCACCTCTTCAGCTATCAAAATAAGGCCAGTGTGGCCACACTTGTAGTTCCCACACTCTAGAAGGCTGAGGCAAGAGGATCACAAGTTCAAGCCTAGCCTGGACATTTAGCAAACCAACAAAACAATGCCTCAAAATTTAAAAATTAAAAGAAGAGGCTGGGAATACAGCTCAGTGCATGAGCCTTGATACTGAAAAAAAAATTTTTTTGTCTTTTTGAGACAGGATCTCACTATGCAGGCTGGCTGTGGGCTCACTTTGTAGTGTCAGCTGGTCTTGAACTTGCCACGATCCTCCTGTCTTAGCTTCCTGCGTGCTAGCATTACAGGAATGTGCCACCACACCTGGCTAAAAATAATAATTTTATTCATTCCTTCTGGCCCTAAAACAACAGAGCCCTCCTTCGCTCTGTTCTGTCAGTCCTTTGGAGTTGGTACCATTCACATAGTTTTATTACTGCTGCCCAAACCATCACTATTGGCCCATTATGTTCCAACCACTGGAGCAGGGACAGTGTCTTATCTCCAACAGGAAGACAATCACTGAGCAGCACGAGAAGGAGATTCGCTACCTTCAAGACGTTTTCATGGCCATGGAGCAGAGCTACATGGACTCCGAGTATGAAAGCAAGCTGGAGTTCCAGAGCCTGTGGGATGATCTCAAAAACAAGGTACAGAGGGAGAGTCCAGGGCAGGAACTGGGAGACAAGTGAGAGAAAAATTGCTCGAGGATACAAGAGTCAAAGGAGAGCCCTGAAACCAACACAGCCTATAGAAGTCAGTGCCACTGCAGGTGTCTGCACTGCTCTTTGTAATTTTGTGAAAACTGGTCAGAAGCCAGTGTGGTGGTGGTGCACACTTGTAATCTCCACGCTCTAGGAGGCTGAGGCAGGAGGATCACAAGTTCAAGGCCAGCCTGGCCAATTTAGTGAGAACCTGTTTCGAAATAAAAAAGAAAATAAGAAGGGCTGGGGATGTAGTTTAAGGCTCCCTGTATTCTATCCCCAGTACCAGAAACAAGTGAATGAGGTTGTTCATGGAGCTGAAGAGCACTGATAGCATTATTCTAAGCATTTAATATTTGGGGGCATTACCTAGAATTTAGAAGAGAAGCACTTTCTACGACTACAACTGGAGAATATAGTAGAAGGTCTGTGGAGAAGGTTCCAGGACGCACTCAAGAGTTACACTGATGCCACAGAGGACAGGAGGATTGCCTTTGAGACCCTGAAGGTGAAGGATGAGAAGAGTTCCAAAGAGATTGAAGCACAGATGAAAAAAATACAGAAATTACAGGTTAGCACAGTCCACCTGAAATTCTGCTCCAAACTGACCAGGTCTCATCACCCGTCTCTGGGCCAGGGGGAGGAGACTCACTCGGATTTCAGTCTCATGCCCTCCTCTGCTTCTGGCCCCACATTGGTCCCATTCTCCATCTCTTCTGTTCATCTAGGAGGCCATAGCTGTTTTAAAAGGCAAGATCATGCTACACAGCCGCGAGAGTGAAGATCAGAACCAATATATCCGCAATGATAAGGACTTGATCCTTATACAGCTGCGAAAACTTAAAGCCCAGAGAACTCAGGCACGGGAAATATCCCAGGAGAACTTAGTCAAACTCACCCGGGAAAGTAATGCCACTCTCAAGGCGCTGAAAAAGGTTGTTGATAAGGTAAGCAAGGGAGGTGGGCATGGTGGCACATGCTATAATCCCAAGCACTAGGGAGACTGAGGCAAGACAACTGCAAATTTAAAGGGGAATGGGGGCTGGGGATTTAGCTCAGTGGCATAAGTGCCTGCCTTGCAAGTGTGCGGTCGAGAGTTCAATCCCTGGTACCGATAAAAACGAAAAAAAAAAAAAAAATTTAAAGGGAAACTTAGCAAGACAGTCTCAAAAAAGAAGTAGCGGTGGGGGCACGGATGTAGCTCAGTGGTAGAGCACACCTTGGGCTTTATTTCCAGAACCAATAAATGAATAAATACATAAATAAACAAATAAGGGCATGAGGGCAGTCAGAACAACGCCAAGGAAACCAGTGCAAGGAGAAAGGGATCTGGAAAGGTAGAGGGCTTTCTCCTGCTGCCTGCTTCCCACCTAAGTGGACGCTTTAGATTGCCTTTTTTCCTTCCACCCTCTTACATTTTATTTATTTATATTTCTCCTCTTACTTTAAGTGAAATAATAATTAATGAGTTAATTCTATAATCAGAATTACCTAGGACAGAGCTTGGCACATGATAAGCACTGCACATTAGGTACACTTACTATTGTTAGCACCCATTGAATGAACTTTCCTGGGTTCAAGTAGGTGATTTGATTCCACTGTCTCTCCTCACTCTCTTCCCTAATTTGTTCTCACCTGCTTTCAACAGGGTGAAAAGATTCTTAAACTTGCTGAAATATGTAGAAAATTTGAAACCGAGGAAGAAAAAGTGCTGCCTTTTTACTCATCAGTCTTGACTCTTGAGGAGCAGGAGACTGAAATGCAGGAAGGAGATGAAGAGCTGACCAAAGAGCTTGCACAGGTACAGGCTGGGGGAGGACAGCAATGTGGTAGCATTTGCTAGAGAGAGTCCTGCTGCACACCTTCTCCTTCTACCTCAACCCCTAGGTGATGGCGGACTACAGAGGGATGGAGAATTTCTGGAAAAGGTACAATAAAGTGAAACTGGAACAACTAAGCCTCCAGCACAGACAAGCCCAGCTGTTAGAGATCAACAGGAAGCTGCGGGAGATGCTCAAGCAGTACTTGGATGGCATCTCAGTGAGTGACGAAGTTCTGAGCCAGCTCAATCCACTGTTCATAGTCAACCATCGGAGCAACTTGCCTCAGCCCCTGCCCACACCAATGGCCCAGTCAGGCAACAGGCAACCCCCAACCACTTACAACATTGTTGAAGCAGCCCATGTGATCTCCCACACCCTGTGATGCAAGCAGGAAGTCTTTTTCCAATCCCAAAATTTTGTTTCTTGGGTGACCCAAATGCTTTGCTATTAAAAATGTTACAGAATTTACCACATTAGACAGAGCAATCTATTTGGAAGACACTAGGAATACCACAGTCCCAGGGTGCAAAGCCAGGCAACTACTGGGAGGCTCATGCCCAGCGAAGCATGGCTGCATGGATCTGGCACCATAAGGATCTAGAAATCCTATGGGCAGACTGTAGACCAGGTCCTTGGGGAGACAGGACAGCAAGGGGAAAAGGTCTAGGCCTCCAGCATTACCCTAGGTTAGAGCCGTGTCCAGAAAGTCTTTTTTCTGAGCCCTTCATCTTATTCCCACTTATAAAAGCAAACTCAGAAAAAAGTGTCAGGTGAGAATGCAAAGAGGTTTTTTTTTTTTCTTTTTAATTACTATTATTTATTATTTCTTTTTACTCTTGTTTCGTTTCTCTTCCTTGAGCTTCTTTTTGGAGACTTTAGGTTGGCTGGCCTTTCTGTATAGGTGATACCCAATGAGGCCCAGGAGGGCTGGCACCATGGCCATGCCTACCAAAGGCAAAACGCCCTTCACCAGCTTCTGCCAGTAGTTGGCTCGGATCAGTGCAATCAGCTCCACGTCATACTGTACCACTGCATCCGCTGGAGAAGCAGAGGGAGGTGAGGGTTAGGACCTTTGTGCATTTTATCAGGGCTGTGAATCTGAGTGAAAATAGGGGAGGGAGCCACAGAAACATGAACTGTGAAGCTGTGGTGGTGAATCCCTGAGATAAAGGCAGAGGAGGGTCATGAACCGTCTAGTGACCACTAACCCACGACACACAGGGTTTAGGTCCAATGACAGGTCTCTGACACACAGGAAAACTCTGAAGGTACAGGAATAGGAAACATGCAAGTTCTCCATTTTCAAGTGAAAGAATCCTCAACACTAACTGACCCCCATTTCCAAACAGCCACATGGATAGGATTTCTGCACTGAGCTTACTCAGTGTGATTATTAGAAAGCAGGTGTTTTGTCGGGTGTGGTGGTACATGCCTATAATCCCAGCACTTGGAAGACTAAAGCAGGAAGACTGCTGTGAGTTCAAGGCCAGCCTGGTCTACAAAGGAGTTCCAAGGCCAGCCTGAACTGCATGGTGACTCAAAAAGACAAAACTGAATCAAACCAGATGTTTTGACATTAGAATTGGGGAAAAAGAAGGAACAACTGAAGAAGAAAGGGGGCATGTGTAAGAGGAGCCAGTGAAGGTGAGGTACAAACAGAAGTAAACAGCTGGGGATGGTGGTGCATGCCTGTAATCCTAGCACTCAGGACACTGAGGCAGGAGGATCACCATGAGTTTGAGGCCAGCCTGGGCTATAGAGTGAGTTCAACACCAGCCTGAATTACATGTGCTAAAGAGCCAGGGATGTAGCCCAGTAAAAGGCCTGGATTCAGTCCCCAGTGTCTCTGTCTCTGTTTCCCTTTTCTCTCTCTCCCCCGCCCTCTCATCCTCTCAATTCTCTCTCTCTCTACACACACACACACACACACACACACACACACACAGCTTCTCCTTAGTCTCCTTGCTGTTTTCCAGGCCTCCTGTGATGCTGGAACTAGAATAATAATTATGCTCCTAGTGTTCTGTGGAATAAAACACATTTTGGCTAATAGAACATCTGTTAAAAGCAAGAGGTACACATCTTGGGAAATCTGTCCAGTCTCAGCCCTACAAGACTAGATATCAGCAACACTATAGATGAGGGCTTTTATTTTTTGATACCAGGAATTGAACTTAGGACCCTGACTTGCCAGGCATGCACCGTGCCACTGAGCTATATCCCTGGCCTAATGAAGGCTTTTAAAATTATGGGCTAGTCAGGTATGGTGGTAGACATCTGTAACCCCAGCATCAGGAGGAAGTTGAGGCAGAAGGATCATTTCAAGTATGATAGTTTGGGTTATACAGTGGGCTCAAGGCCAGTCTGAACCACAAAGTAAGACTCTGTCTCAAACAAATAAAAAAACTAAGGGCTGAACTTGACATTTAGAGATTTTTTTAAAATTTTGTTGAGTTCCTAGGCTGCTCCAGGAGGAGTCGTATAAGCACCAGCCCCACATGGCTCAAGCAGATTTTTCTCAAAACCTACTGGTCAAGCCAGTGACCTTAACAGGTTATATGTCTGTAGTTTTTATTGGCAATCTGAGGAGGAAAAAGTGGCCTGTAGAATGAGACCCCAGCCTCTGCTGTTCCTTTCAGCAAACATGATCTGGACCTTCTCATGCTCCCGAAAGAGTTACAGTTCCTTGTAGTTCTTAGGGACTGGGTATTTTGGTGGCCTAAGAGAAAGGTCTCATTAGATTACCTGGGATAGATGGTGGCAATCCCCGTTTTCCATAGGCCAAGTGAGAAGGGATGACTGCCCTTCGCTTCTCTCTGAGAAAAGGAACGTGTGTCACAGCAAGAGGCAGTGACCAGATGCTTTGGTCCCACAGGCTCCACAGCAAAGCCCCAAATGTGACCGCTCCCACCTGAGGACCTATTGGGTTGGCCAGTAAAGGTGTCCTTCTCCCCAAACTTCCCAACAAAACCAACAGCCAGAGGCCCAGAGGCTCTGGATGTCCTCAAGGGTCTCACTGATGTGGACCTGTTGGTTGGTAGCCAGGGTTTTTTATCTCACATTCTCCTGCCTCCTGGAAAAGCAGGGATGGCAGAGAAAGCTTCCACTCAGGCAAAGGAGGACCCAGGGCCAACCCTGCCCAGATACTCACCCTACACACATGTCTAGAAGGCTCTGCTCCAGACCTTGAGAGAGAAGACATAACTCAACTGCGAGCTGCCTATGTTCCCCAAATTCCCCAAAGGAAGATCCAAGGTGCCACCCTGTCCATCGTTTGAGCTTTGCTCAGCTTGTCAAATTCCTGGCACCCAGTGGGGTACGGGCCAAAGAGGAGTATTAGAAGTGGCGTTTGGACCTTAGGAAACAGCTGCAAGATCCATCCCTAGGGTCTTACTCATTCCAGAGAGCATTTCGAGGGCAGCTTTTGGGTTAAAGAGTAAGGAAGGTCTTAGGTTGGAAAGAAATGGAATGAGAGAAGCAGGGTACATACCTGGAATCACCTGCTTTTGGCCAAGTTCTATAACCAGAGGGTCTCTGCTCAGAGAGGTGTCAATGATGCGTCCATCTACCAAGCTGCCCTGGAGGGAAGAGAGCATCAAGAGCAGCACCTAGTAGTATGGTACCTCTCCTTCCCAGCAAGTGGACAATACACACGTGGACCACTGGGTGGCGACAACCCCCTTAAAGTAGCAGTCTAACGACCCCCATCCTATCCCCGCCCTGTCGCTGGGTACAGAAAAACCCGAAGGGCTGGCTCTTCTTGGAGCTCAGAGCTCGCTCTTCCTTTTGTCAGTGTCCGAGAGGATCTGGCGGTAAAGCGCCCAGGGAAAAGGGCGGGGAGGCGGAGCGCCCCTCCCCCTGCCACGTGCTCAAGGACCCCAGACCCCGAGTTTCTCCTCCCAAACCGCTTGCCACGTGTCCGAGTGAAGGCTGACGTGTTTCAGCGGGGCACCGCCTCCTCCAGGCTCCGCCCGGCCCCTCCCCTCCCGGCCCTCACCGTGTAGTGGATGTGGAGCGTGTCTCCGAAAGCAGCGGTTTCCGCACATGGCTCGGGGGGCTCCACCTGCGATCGGACTACAAGGGTCACGGATGCTCCTCCAAAGATCCATTGCTGTTCCCTAGACCCAGCACCCCCCAACTCAGTTCCCGCAGTTCCCCTCCTCCTCCCCCCCAGGTTCCTCCGATCCCAGTACTCCTGACTAGTCCCTGCCGTGGAGGCCGGGAACCAGGACAGTCTCCTCACCAGCGTCTCCACTTGGAGGGTCCGGATTGGACTTTCGGTTTCGGACCCAGCCTCGGCCCGACACAGCGCCCCACTGAGCAGCAGGAGCAGCAGGTGGAGCGGCGAGAGTGAGGGGCACAGGATCATGACTGGACGGGACGGGTCACCCACACCAGGACGGCTGCTCGGGCAGTGGCGAGTAGGACAGCGCTTCCTCGGCCACCAGGCCTGACTGGACGGGACCGGGCGGGCGGGTCGTGAGGAGTGAGCTCCTCCTTCTGCAGCCCTTCCTCCACCTTGTCCCCACCTCCTCGTGGGAGGAGGCTGCAGTAAACCCTCGCTACCCGCTGAGATCCGGAGGTCCCCACAGATACTGATCCGTAGGTCTGTTAGCCATTCTGTGCCACAGGAGGGGTTGACCCATAATAGCAGCCACTACTGTTTGCATACCTACTGTATGCACATTAGCCTCTATCCCTCAAAACTACCTTGAGGGTGTTGGGGATTTAGCTCAGTGGCATAAGCACCTGCCTTGCAAGCAGGCGGTCGTGAGTTCGATCCCTGGTACCGATAAAATTAAAAAAAAAAAAAAAAACTACCTTGAAAGATAGGTACAACTATTCCCATTTTACAGCTAAGGAACAGAGAAGAATGTGCGAGTTGCTTGTCCAGTGTCATCAAGCTGGGTGGCCAAAGCACAGGATTCAAACCCAGTTCTGTCTGAATCCAGAGTATTTCTTCTAAGATACATCCCTCCACACCATCCTGGCAATGTCACACTGTCCAGCCTGCAGTTGTCAAAGAGGCATTCCTCTCCCCACTGCCTTCTGCAGCTTGAATTTCTGGAAGTTTAGATCCAAAAGAAGGGCGGTAGCTATCCTAGCCCTCTGCCCTTGGAGAGCTAACTGAAAAGCATAAGAAGTGGTTCTCCTGTAAGAACAGGGTGGGGGGTCATTGGCCGTTCCTCTGACACTACCATTTCCTTTGTTTTCATCAGCAACCTTTGCAAAAGAATGGCACATACAACCTTCATGTTTGTGAAGGGCTTCAACTTATTTTAGGTGATTCTGCCAGTCCTCTTTTGCATGATTGAAACCCTTAATGAGCTCAGACTTTGGCACCCAGATTCTGCTCACTCAACAGCTCTCAGCAAGTTCACTATCACTAATCTAAGGCTGCTTCCCAGGCCTGTTGTCCTTAGCATCTCTCTGGCATCAGAGCTCTGATGCCCTCACCAGTTCCACACAACTGCCTACTGGACATCTCCATCTGGATGTCTGGTCAGTGCCTGAGACTTAAACGCAACACATACTCGTTTCTCTTGCTTTCATCCTAGCTGCAACAGCCTGGGCTTCCCTCCCAATCTCCTTTCTGATGCAGATCTAATGGATCTAGTCTTCTTTTATTTCCACATCCAACCAATCTCCTTTGGATTCTTCATAGCCCTCTCACTCTGTCCATTCCCATGGTGACCACAAATTTTAAACCCTCACTGTGTTTCTCTTTGGGGAAAAAAAAAAAAAAAGGCTGAGCACAGCAGTGCATACCTGTATTCTCAGCTACTCATGAGGCTGAGGGAGGAAAATCACAAATTCAATCCCAGCCTGGACATTTTAGTGGTTTAGCAAGACCTTGACTCAAAATAAAATTTTAAAAGGGCCGTGAAGCTGAGTGTGACAGGACAGGCCTATAATCTCAGTACTTGGGAGGCTGAGGTAGGTGAATTACCAGCCTAGACTACAGAGCAAGACCCTGTCTCAAAAAAGAAAAAAGAAAATGCTGTGGCCAGCCTTGGTGATACATACCTGTAAATCCAGCATGCAAGAGGTAGAGGCAGAGGATTGCCACAATTTTAAAAACTGCCAGGGCTACATAGGGAGACCCTGTCTCAAAAACCCAAATCAATCAATCAATCAATCACTTAACCCAAATAAAGGGCTAGGGATGTAGCTCAATAGTAAAGCACTCCTACGTTCAAACTCCAGTGCCACCACCACCAAAAAAAAAAAAAAAAAAAAAGCTGGGTATGACAACCTAAATTCTGGCTAATCAGATATAAACAGAAATGCTGGAAATATTGTCTTAAATTATTGTCTTAATCCCTTAAAGGGATTAATTTATCTAAGAATTGCTTCATTGTGTTTATCTTACTTCCTCCAATCATCTCTCTTCATTGTTTCTACCACTTGCAATGGATTTTATTTTTTGGTAGTGGGGAATGAACTCAGGACCTCGCACTTGACAGGCAGGCACTGCATCGCTGAGCTAACTCCCTACTACCTGCCCACCACCAACTACCTGCAATGTAGATGAGATAGAGCCAGGGATTTAGCTCAGTGGCTCAAGCAGGAGGTTCTGTATTTGATCCACAATACCAAAACAAAACAAAAACAAGAAAAACCTGGGAGCCAAATAAACCTTCACTGGGGCTAGGGATTTAGCTCAGCTGGATAAGTGCCTGTCTGGCAAGCACGAGGTCATAAATTCAATCCCTATTACAAAAAAAAAAAAAAAAAAGTTAAATTAAGATATATGTCATAGGGGCTGGGGATTTAGCTCAGCGGCATAAGTGACTGCCTTGCAAGTGTGTGGTTGTGAGTTCAATCCCCAGTACCGATTAAAATAAAAAAAATATATATGTCATGTACAGATACAAATTCCTTATGACGAATGTTATCACTATACATATCTAAAGTATATCAATAAAAAAGGACATTTAAAAAAAAACAAGCTTTCATTCCTTATGAATTACTTAGCCAATGGCACTCAGCTATAGTGACAAAAATACAATGCAGATGAAATGAATTACTCTAGTCTCTAACATTAGACCATGAGGATGATCCCACAGTGATGACTTGTAAAGGTAGAAGCCCGAGTCTCTAATAATTGAGAGCCTCTGCATCAGTCTCGACTGCATAACATCAGGTACTTTTTTCTTTTTGCTAGAACCCAGGACCCCAAATGCTAGACATGTGCCTCACCCCTAAGCCCCATCCTCTGATCATCAGGCACCTTTCTTTGCTTGGTTTTGAGACACGGTCTTGCTGTGTAGTCCAGATTGGCCTCAAGCTCCCAAGCCTCCCTTAGCATCCGGAGTGTTGGGATTACAACATGTATGCAATGCCACACCTGGCTCCCTATCAGACGTGTGTGTGGTATGGAGATTGAACTCAGGCCTTTGCATTGAGTTGTTTCCATCCCTTTTTATTCTTTGAGACAGATTGACATACTATCCAGCCTAGGCTGAAACTTGCAATCTTCCTGCCTCAGTCTCCAAGTAGTGGGTAGCAGGGATTGTAAGTATGCACTCATGCACAATCCACTGGACATCTCTTAATTGATATAGAAATAAACTATCATTATTTCGGATGCTGAAGCAGGAGGACTGAGAGTCCAGGGCTAGCCTGGGCTATATAGATAGCAAGACCTTATCTTCAGGTAAAAAGGAAAAAAAGAAACTATTGCTTTAGACTACTCTGTGCAGTTATATCGTTTCAGTCGTGTCACCTACCCACTAAAGCCTACCATGGCTCAACACTGCCCAATAAGTAACACTGATTTCTCAATAGGCCAATTAAAAGCTTTGTCCTCCAGTCCTAATCTACTTTTCTGATCTTTTATCCTATTAAGCTGAAAGATTTTTGGAGACAAGAACCTCATGTTTTTCATTTCTGTATCTTCACTGCTTATATCGGACATGTGAATACTACTAAATGCAAATGAACTGAGTCCAGTCTTCCTCCTGCTGACTGCAGTCTGGCCCCCAATGAGCCTGCACTGTTTCCCTTCTGGTGCCCTTGCTAATGCTTAGTCTTCACCTGCCACACATCTCCTCTGTGAGATCCCCATTCTCCACACAGTGGCTTCCCCACTTTCTGAATGTCAAGTGCACCCTGAGGGACATTGAGGAGGAGAACTTGTCTCACTCCTTTTCTCTCTCCCAGAGTCAGCTCACTGATAGCAAGGACAAGATTGCGATCATACCTGGAGCCCTATAAGCGCTTGCTGTACAACATTCTTCAAATAACAGATAACAAATTTAATTTTGTATAAATTATACTATGAAATGAGAAACTATTAAAGAGGAAGATAGTGAAGTGCTGTGGTACAGGCCTGTAACCTGAGCACCCAGGGGAGCTGAGGCAGGAATGCAAGTTCAAACCCAGCTGAGCAACTTAGTAAGACTGTCACAAAGTAAAAAATGAGTGTATTTAGGGTGAGATGTAGCTCAGTATGAAGGTCCTAGGTTCAATTTCTAGTACCAGGAAAAAAAAGATAAATATGCTACTTGGAAGATCTCAAAAAACAAATGTATATACTCTTTAAGTAAAAAAGCAAATAGAATAATACATGTGATGTGAGTCCATTTATATTTTAACCCTTCCCAAATGTGGGTACATGCATATACTTAGAAAAAAGAAACAGAAGCTGGGTACAGTGGCACATGCCTACATAATCCCAGCAAAATCACAACTTCAAGCCCAGCCCATGGAATTTAATGAGACCCTGTTTCAAAATATAATAAATATATACTTAAATTATTTATATACAATTTTGTTATGTAATTATATATAAATAATATATAAAATTGTAAAGAGACAAGAAAGGAGAAAAAAGACAAATCAAGGTATATTATGTTCAGGTACAAAATTCCTATGATGGGTGTGAACACTGTATATACCTAAATTGTACCAATAAACTTAAATTTTTTTTTTTTTTGTCTTTTTCCTTTTTATTGGTACTGGGGATCGAACTCACGACTGCCTGCTTGCAAGGCAGGCGCTTATGCCGCTGAGCTAAATCTCCATCCCCTAATAAACTTAACTTTAAAAAAGAGAGAGAGACAGAAAGGGAGGGAGGGAGGGAAGAAAACTGGAAAAATGCAGTATATATTCCAAAAGCTGTTAAGGGTTAGGGAAGGCAGTGGGAAGAGAACAAGTTTTGCAGGTTGTTCTGTGTATTCATGTATTGTTTGGATCTTTTACAATAAAATTTTGATTATAAAAAATGTTTAAATACATACAATACTAAATAGACAAGATATGTAGCAATGCAAGGGGACTTGCAGGAGGTGTTGGGGAGGGCAATGAAACCCTCATGGTTAGAGAAGTTCTGGGCAGCTTTGTGGAGAAGTAAACAAGCTAGATCTTACAGTGCGTTGTTTTTTTTTTTTTTTTAAACAAGTGAGAAATGGGGCAAAGGCAGAGGACCAGATGCTTGGGAAAAAAAATGAGTGGACTGTCAGGTGTGGTGGTACAGCCTGTAATCCTGGCATTTAGGAGGCTGAAGCAGGACTGAAATGAGTGAGAGATCAGACTGGGCTACATAGCCAGACCCTGTCTCAGTAAACAAAAACAAATCAGGACCAGATTGGCAAAAGTAAGAGACTGGCCAAAAGAGAGGTTATTAGAAAGGGCAGTAAGGGAACTGGTTGTTGAGAACCTTGAATGTTAGACTAAGGCTATGGGAACACTGAAAGCTTCTGAGCAAAGGCTGACCATGCAGACTGCTCTGACACAAGCTAACTGCAGCAGTGTCACAGATCTGAACAGCAAGCGGGGCTGGGAAGGATGGCAAGGACAGAACTATTTCAGACAATATCCATTACAGAACATGGCGCAAGCCCACCTGGACACAGGAGGGCCTGGGAAGGCACTTTTTTCCTTGTACTGGGTTAAGAACCTAAAAGAGAAAGGTGAGATGTTCCTGGGAAAAGGAGGGGATCTGGTTCAACCCTAGCTGGTGCTACAAGTGCTCAGAGAACTTGACTTGCAAGGTGTCTCTGAGGGCCAAGTAGCACAAACTCTGCCAGTCCTTTTAAATTCCCAAGACTCGCAGGGCACACACCATACCCAGCTTGATCAACACAATGATTTATTCATTCACCCATTCATTCATCAGGACTGTGTGCCTATCAGCCACCAGAGAGCAAGCACGGCAGTTTTGCTCCCCATGGTGCTGCAGACTGGACGAAGGCCTTGTTTGTTATGTGGTGACACTGATGCCCAGACCCAGGCCCTTTAGGTTTCATTATATATTCATTCACCCACGAGTGAAGCAGTTACCCTTCACTTTTCCCCCACGGCTGCTCTAACCTCTACGGAGCTCTCACCCCATCAATGCAAGAGCTGGCAAAGGCAAAAACATGCCTTCTCTCTCCCCTTTCTACCACCTAAAGCCAAGAAAGTGACCATCCTCATTATACTCAGAACTAAAACCCCTGTAGCTTGGAGTCCACAATCTAAGCCTTCCTATCCTTAGAGGTTTCTTGTAGGTATTCAACTTTTTTTTGTACCAAGGTTCAAACTCACGACCCAGTGCTTGCCAGGCAGGCGCTTATGCCACTAAGCCACTGGCCCCATAGATAATCAACTCTATCCCAGAATGGCTCATAACATGCATGTGGCAGAGGGGCGGGAGCAGAAGGTGGGCAGCAGTGTTGCCAGCAAATAGGCTCATTCCAAGCTTCTGGCTGGATGGGCTTGACTGCCAGACAGCTATGATGCCGGCTTTGTGAGAAAGGGTGCTGGAAGGAAGTGTGCAACAAGCTAGATTTGCCAGCTCTGAAGCCACAGTGGTTCCTGAGCCCAGGTACTCTTCTGCAGTTCATGATCAGTGACACACCTCTTGTTTTGACAATGGAAATCTCAACCCCTTTCCTCACTTCCATATTTGTGACCACTGCCTTCAGGGGCTATGCTCATCCTCTACCATATTTAAGACTTCCGTTTCCTCGGTTCTCTTCATCCTTCCGAGGAACTCAGGTGATTCTTACCTAACAACAACCTTACCAGCAACCAAGATCAGGACACCTAATCAGAAAGAAAAACTGCATTAGAAAGAAAAACTTGCAGGCATCTAGACTCTGTCACTTCCAAGTGATCAGTGTGATGCTGCAGCTCTTCTGCTTCTTGGTTAGAAAGAGATCTGGAAAGCAGCTTCATACGACAGCCTACCTGAGGAGACAACTCCCTGTGTTCAGCAGCAGCAGCAGCCAAGGACAGGGTGCTTTCTTTTGGCCGGAACACCATCTTTCAGGAATGTGCCAAAATGATTAACACGAAGGGAAAGAGGAGGGGACTAGGCCTTTTAGGGAACATAGTGTTGTTCCTCTGGCCACATACATGCAAATCCACAAAAAGAGTGATACTGTAGACGTCAAGGGAATGGGTACTATGCAAAGGAAAAGCCACATAAATGTTACCATGGCAAAACTGGAAAAGTCTACAGTGTTACTCAGCATGCTGTTGGTATTGCTGTAAACAAGCAAGTAGAGGATTAATGTGTATATTGAGCACATTAAACATTCAGAGTTAAGAGTTTTCAGAAATACATCAAGGAAAATGATTCAGTAAGAAGCCAGAGAAAGGTGCCGGCCTGCCTTGCTCAGAGAAACATGCTTTGTGAGAACTGAACAGGTTCCAGAAATTCAAGAAGGAGCCCAAGTTTCTGAAACCTGTTCCCTATGAAATCATAGTATATGGTGGGGATGCAGCTCGACCATTTGGCACCTAATTAGTGGCTAAGTGTTATAGGCCCTGCTTAAAAATAAAAAAATCATCCTGAGTTGTAAGGATGGTTTTCTTAATTGAACAGGTATGTGGTGTCTTTACCTTGGAGAAACAAGCATTTGGGGCAGATGCTAGATTTTACCTAGTTATTTGGGTCTTGATTTTTTTTACTGAAAGACATGAGGTACTACTATACAGGTATATACTTAAACGGCCAAATCTTTATGAAGTATTTATATTGACTTGAAAATCCTCTAAATCACCAAGGAGAAATAATGTATTCAAACAAATGGAAGTCAGTGTATGGCATTCCAGTTAAATAAACTGTTTAAAGCATTCTACTGTGAGTTATGTTCTAGTTCTGAACTACTTTTGAACATTCATGAAGCACTTGGAAAACAATACTATAAAGCATGTCTTTGTTTACTATAATAAAATCCTACAGATTTTGGTAATATGTTTAAAAAAAAAAAAAAGACAAGGTGTCCTCTACAGTTATTCCCCACTTCCACTGCCCCACGTAGTACACTACAAATACTCAGATTCCAGAGCAGCCCAAAAAATGGCTCCCTGATCCCTAAGTATACTCCTTTGACCCACTTTTTAACACAGACCTAAAAACACAAAAAAGAAGGAATAAAGTTGCCACTCTTTTGTTCTAACCAGTCTAAGCACTTGATTGGGTAGTAGCGAGAACCCCAGAGCCTTTAGGCCTTCTAATTCAGTTTTGAAAAAACTCTACCTACACTCCTGTCATTGCCCCTCCCTGCTGGAATGAAGGGCACAGTTTCATCCTTCATCCCACCTGAGCTAATCCACTGGCTTTCTGCAGGCTCCTTTCAAATCTCCCTGGCCCAGATTTTCAAGAGTACCATGGGCCTGGGTCCTTTGTCAAGAGAAGATGGGTGAGCTATTCAGCTTCTGGAAGGTGGGACTGCTGCCACCAGAGGGCTCCCCTCTACCTCTTTCGAGGCATCTTACACTGAGTTCTGGGGAACAGAAAGCAGTAAGGCATTTTCTTCTCCAAATGGCTCAGAGGTCAAAAAATAACTTTCTGGCCTGCCATTCAGCTAAGTACACTCCATTATCAGAGGCAGGCTAAGTTACAGCTGTAGAAGTTACTTATTAACATACAAATAAAGCTCTTGAGAAAGGTGGTCTGTACTAGCAACCTGTCACCAAGAAGGACTTTGGAGGAGCCTAGCAGGAGGAAAGGTTCATCTGATTTTGAGAGTTAAGTAGGTATTGCTTGAAGCTATAGGGATACTAAGACCCATAGCTGAGTAATTTGAGGGTTATGAAAGGCAGAAACACTGGTCTTTGCAGGTCATAGCTTATTAATAATAAAAGGGAAACTGAACAGGAATACACTGGTACTTGGGACTCTCAAACTTCTTTTTCTTTTTTGAATGGTACCAGAAACTGAACTCAGAGCCTTTGCAATGCACTATAGTTCCAGTCCCATCTCCTCACCCTGCTTTTTTCTTTAAATCTTGAGAGTCTTCTAAATTGCCCAGCCTGGGGTCTAACTTGCAATATTCCTGCTTCAGCTTTCTGGAGTGCTGGAATTACAAGTATGCACTACCACATCCAGCTTCATGAGTTTATTAAATGTCCAAATCCTGTCTTTTTCCCACCTCAAAGATTGAGAAAAAAGAGTGTGGCAGGCCTGCCTGTCTCACCCAGCCTAAGGGTAACACCATCCTTTCTTCACTTTCACCAAACAGCAGTAGCAAGAGAGGAACCGAGCTGTGGTGGGAATGGGATGGGAGTGAAGGGACTTTATGCACAAGCTCTGTTTCTCCAGGACATGTATGCAGTCTGCAGATGAGGCTTAGCATCCTGACAATGGGACCATAGGCTGGAGTTACAGGTAATGCAAGACCATTATGTGAAAGAAGGATCACACTCATTACACTGCTCACTTACCCTTCATGCTTATTTGTAGCCAAAGTCCAGACCTAGATGGATGTGAGGACTCTAATCTATGAATGAGTTTGAACTAGAAGTATCTGATGTGTGGAGTTTGGGAGATCTGAGAGTGGGGGTAGTACAGGACCCTGCAGTTCCTGAAGTCCCTAAAGTCTACAATGGGTGGAAATACAGCCAAATTCAGTGTAAAGCTCTGGAAGTAGAGGAGCAAAGTCACAGAGCTGTCATACTCTGGTGCCCAACTCTTTTGAACTTTCCTCTGGGATATGATGGGAATAAATAAGCAACAGGGACATGTGCCTAAGTTTCTCCATAACCTCTCTACACCCACCAAATGTGTTCTTTCCCCACTCTGATGAGGAGCAGCAGTATAAAGAGAGGGATCAGAAACAGAACTATTTTCACCATTAATCCACTGTTCCACAGCTGCTGCATATCAAGGATGAAGGTCTGCTCCAAAGCTGCATAAAACAAGTTTAATTTCCAACCAGGGTCACAGTCATTGCGTTATCCCACATTTTGAGCAAGGATAGAGAAGGTGAGTTATTAAACATGTACAGTCTACATTCCAGAGGAGGAAAAAAGAGAAAAACCAGTTCAGAACTGCAGTTACCACTATAAACACCACAAACAAACTTTGGAGTTGGGGGTAGGGAGAGTTCCCAGGAAGAAGGCTGGAACAGGGAAAGCATAAAAATTAAACCCGCCTAAGGTGAGCAGGACAGGCCACGGGCAGAAATGGAACAGAATATTCAAATTCCCAAAGAGCTGTTAGGTAAATGGGAAGGTAAAAAAGACTAACCCTGCCCAAGGGTCTACAGTGAAGGATGCAACCAAGATCGTTTGCTGCCCCCTGCTGGAAAACCCTGGAGCAGCAGGAGGGCAACCTCCAACACAGCTTAATACCCTTAGCCCCAGATTTGGCTCTGGAGGCCAACAAACTAGATAGTGGTGAGGTCTGAAGTGAGGAAAACCCATCTAACTGGCATCTAACTATGGAAAGTCAGAGAAGGAACGAGGCAGGAGAAGAGAGACAGTCCTCACCAACCATAAAAATAGAGGGGGTAATCATAAATAAGGTGCAGGGAGGGACGATATACGGACAAATAGCCTTGAATAAATTGAGAAAGCAAAGGAAAGACTTCAGAGAGAGAAAGGCAATGGGAGAGGGCAGAACAAAATCAGAAAGTGCAAACAAAAAGTATGTAGGAAAATTTCTGTGGGGTCAGAAGACAGAACCCATTTTAAAATGAAACAACTTTCAGCACACACACACACAGAAGCACACAGGCACACACGTACACCACACCCACCGTGTCTTACATATCACATCATCAAGTAACTGGCACTGAGGGAGACACCCCTGGAACCTCTCACAGTTCAACTGGGTGGATCAGGAGTATTGATCTGCCTGCTGTAAAGAGACAGGCCCCACAGAGTGGGGCATTGGACAGCCTTCTGGGAAGGGGTCCCTCAGTCATGCTGTGGGGTCCCTGGGCCCTGATCTTAGCCAAAAGGTATGGGCAGCTATCTTGGAGCTCAGGGCGCAGCCAGCACACACAGGAGTCCAAGAACAGCCACAGCTTCACAGAAATCACAGCAATCAGGACCTAAGCCAGGATTTCAGGGACAAGTGCCCCTTGTAGACAGGGACACAGTAGCAGCAGCTTCTGAACAACTATATAATAATGGAAGGAAGGCCCTGAAGTCCATGGCATCTCACCAGCACCAACCACTACTCAGGATTCACCTTCTTTCACCCCAACTTCCATATATGGGAAGTGGGTGAGGCAGCCAGGAAAGCTGTTGGAATGGAGAGGAGGCCAGTCAGGGTGGTTTGAGGACCTCAAAACAACAGAAGACCTTCATCCTTTAGCACATCCTAAACTAAGGAAAGATTAAAAATTGGAGAATAGGAAGGTTGATACTGAGGTCTGCTATCTTACCCCCAACTCATAGTATCACTCAGCCCTGATTTGGCCAGCAGGGCTTCCAGAGTGAGAAAACTGACAAAGGACAAACGAAACCACCCAGCCCCAAAAATCAAGGGGAGGGCATGGGAAGGGAGGAATAAAACCCACCCAGGCCTTACCTTCTCCTAATAACAAAAGAGAATGAAGAGGAAAACCAAAGGCCTCCCCATGGCACCAAAACCCACTCTGGGTCCTGGTTCCCAAATACACATGGGTCTTGCTATCCCTACCTCTCCCTCAAGCTCCAGAGGAACAGATCTAAGAATAGTGGGGGAGGATCTGTTGAACACTCTGGGCTGGTAAGAGTGAGTGGGTTCCTCTTTCCTTCCCACTAACAAGGCAAAGCAGAACGGCATCTCCTTGGGAGCAGTCATCTAGAAAGAAATGCCACCTCCTGCCCTAAGAAAGCTAGAGAAAGGGGTACAAGGAAGATGGTGGTAGACTCCATCATCTTTCCTGCCATCCAGGAACACCTACCTGCAGATAGGAGCAGAGGGCAGTCCTGCCTGTCCCCAACCCCTTACCTGCTTCCCTTTACCTCACCAGCATGGATGGAGCAGATAACAGGCTCCAGTGGGCAGTGTCCTGGCTGCAAGCCCTGAGCTTCTCTCCACCCCCTCCCAGCCCCCATGTATATATCTCTCTATACACGTATATACAGGCGCACACATGCACGCACACACAGAGGCCTGTGCAGTTTCCATGTACAACAGGAGAGGTTATCAAAAAAAAGGAAGACAGGAAATAGGAGAGGGGCCTGTGTCAGACTCAGATGCCAAAAGCACAGCAACCAGTGCCAAATGAAGCAAACGGAGAATATCCCACCTCACCTCCCAAAATCCAGAGGGTGAGAGAAAGAGGGGGGCCACCCCATGAAACCATCACAACCTCGTTTTAGTTTTAAATCCAGTAAATTGGAATGATTCATCATCAGGACAGCAATCAGAAACTGGTCATGTCGATGGAAAGGGGAGAGAAGGTGAGGCAGGGGAGGCAAGGCTCTGGCTGGGCATGCGGACATGATACCCAGGGCCTTGGCCACACTTGCAATGAAGGGGTAGGGCTGGGGCAGGGAGACAACAGGTTATGTCAGGGGTGGGTGGGGTGGTCAGAAAGGGCTGTCTGGATCTCACTTCTTGTTTTTGAGCTGATTGGCCAGCCAGTCCAGGCCTTCATACAGCCCATCCCCGCTGGTGGCACAGGTGGCCTGAATGTACCAGTTGCGATGACGCAGGGAATGTAGACCCAGCTTGTCCGTAATCTCAGCAGCATTCATAGCGTTCGGCAGATCCTGGAGTGTGAGGGAGACACACACAAAGGAGCCTGAAAAGCTTTCAAAGGCTTGCAGAGCACCCATCTACCAGAGATGAGTTCCAGCACCTTTCCCTCCTCCTTTTTTGGGAAACCCAGAACAAGATCTAGAGGATCACTTTGGACTTGATCATCCTAGACCCCCAGATCCAAGGATGTATACAGTCATCCCACTGCAAAGCTAGAAACTAAATGCTATATGAGACTCATAGGGCAGTGGAAAGGTGACTTAGCCCAAGAATCAAATCTGTCTGACAGCAGTAGTGATGGAGTTCCAGTGAAGTGTGTATCAGTTAAAAGAAAAGAAAGACTTGAGGTGACATATCTACCACGCCAATCCCTGAAGACTAAATAAAGACAGGTAGGGACAAGAGTTATATAAAGAAGCCAAATGCTTGTATTTCCCACACTTCCAAACTTGAAAGACTGACTTCCATAAAACAAGCCCAAGGTCCCATGATTTCTACAACCAGGCTGGCCTCCCCCATCTTCAAGGGTGGGGGGGAAGGCTCACCTGTTTGTTTGCAAAGACAAGCAGCACAGCATCCCTGAGCTCATCCTCTGCCAGCATCCTCATCAGCTCTTCCCGGGCCTCATTTACTCGTTCCCGATCATTGCTGTCGACCACAAATATCAAGCCTAGGGAGGCAGAGCAGCAGAGATGACAGATGGCCTCTTGCTCCACCATCAAAAGACCACATATCCTTACACTGTTCAAACAGCTGCATTCGTTCCTCCTTTTGCCCATCCCTGACAGCTACAGCAGAGTAAGAGCTGGCTGCTACAGTCAAGGAAGACAGCCACTCTGCTTATCCCCATCCAATCCATGCCAGCCCTGGGCAGTTCATCAGCCATACCTTGGGTGTTCTGGAAGTAGTGCCTCCAGAGGGGCCGAATCTTGTCCTGGCCACCTACATCCCACACTGTGAAGCTAATATTTTTATACTCTACTGTTTCCACATTAAATCCTTTGGGGGAGAGAGAGAGAGAAAAAAAAAAAAATAACAGGTCATAACACCAAGAAAGGAAAGCTAAGTGGTCAAAGTCACAAGGCTGGCTTCTCCCACCCCTCTCTGATCAAAGTCAAACAGAATGAGGAGGTCTCATCAGGAAGTTCAGAGCTACCTGGGTAATGTGAGCCAACCTTCCCCACTCCTTGCTCAGACAGTGGCCCAGACCTCAGACTCAGGTCCGCTTCTGTACCTTGGCCAGCAGAGTCTGTCTCAACTAAGATGTGGAGCTGAGAGGCAGATGGAGAATGAGAGGTGAGGTATGGTCTTGAAGCTCCACATGCAGAGCAAGTTGCAGAAGATGATTCACATCCCCCATCCATGTGGCAAATGTTCTGCCTCCCATAGGCAGGTCATAATCAGGATTGGCCCAAAATATCCAAAGCAATTCTAGGCCTCTGGCAGGAACATCAAAGCCTTTCACCTGCTTTCCAAAGAACACAAAGAACAAACCAACTCTAGCGCCTAAGGGCAAATGTGGAGCACCAGCTTGTGGAAGTTCTCACATCAGGGAGGACCAGGGTAGGTGGGAAAATGGCAGGCAGGCAGCTGCTAGCAAGCTTAAATAGTCATCATTCTCTGAGGTCTACAAATTGCATGGACTTGCTTGGGGAAAAGTGGCCAGGTAGAGAGTTTGGACTAAGCCTCCTGCCATGCCTCAGCTGCTGGCCCACAAACAAGCTGTACCCTTACCGATGGTGGGGATGGTGGTGACAATCTCCCCTAGTTTCAGCTTGTATAGGATGGTGGTCTTTCCAGCAGCATCTAGGCCCACCATCAGGATGCGCATCTCCTTCTTCCCAATCAAGCTCTTAAGAAGGTTTCCGAAGATATTGCCCATGATCACAGCAGCTGCGGTACGAGGGCCCAAGTAGAGGCAGTGTGGTCTGGTGTTAGCCTGGTCCCTGGTATGGAGGACTTGATCCTAGGCAAAGGAAACACAAACTTATTACCACTATTTGCTTATCACGAGTTCATATAAGTGGAATTTACTAAAGTCATAGCTGGAGTTCATCCACGGCAAATGAGAGCCTCAGGGGACTATAAATACCAAGGCCCACTCAGGCACATCTTGGGCCTTTAGGAGCAGAGACAAAGCAAGGAATGCTCAGGATCCGTGCTGTCTGGAATCCACTATATGACTCTGGGAAAGTACCTTTATCTTTCCAGATCTGCACCTGTAAACTGAGAGGGTTCAGCTGGGTGGTTTCTGAAGCCCCTTCAGTTTTGACATTCTATACTAACCGTAAAGGCACCACAAGTTCACTTATGCTCCTCCCTCTCCCAACCTTTCCCTAAGACTTCTGGAAAGGGTGGGAGAGGAAAGTGTGGAATGAGGAGTGGCTCTCCGTGACTTCTGACAAAGTTCAGGCTTGCCAGGTTTCCAAGGTTTATGTTCCCCGTTCTAATTGAGGGGCTTCTTCTTCCTTGCCTACAGTCTATAGTTCCATTTTCCTTCCACACCAGTGAAAATGAGAAGAAATAAGACAGCAAGAAAGGTGAACTCCTAAAACAGGCTGATTCTTTACACTCTGTGAACTACCTTAAAGTTGTGCCCCATCCACACAGTAGAACCCTAAAAGCAGGAATGCGGGGTAGAGAGGCTACCCTCTCCTAAGCCAGACAGAGCTAAAACCACTGTGGCCCATCTAGGGAGAACTGCATGGCATAGTCACCTGAGATGCGGTAGTCATCTCATGCCTCATTTCTTCCTGAACTCCATTTGTCCTCCACATAGCACTCTGATTTTAAAACCAAAATAGGTCATATGGTTCCTCTTACTCAAAACCCTCTTTCCAGGTGTGGTGCTGCAAGCCTGTAATCCCAGCTATTCAAAAGGCTGTTCAAAATCAGTTTGGTGACTTTCCAAGACATGGTCTTGAAAGTAAAATTTTAAAAAGGGCCAAGGATGTAGCTCAGTGGTAGAGTGCTTGCCCAGCACATAGCATCTCTAACATTGTAAAAATGCAAACCTCTCTTGGCTTTGAAGCTTTGTTACAATAAAACCACAGTCCACACCACAGCCTACCGGTCCTATAAGATCTACACTCCCATGTATCTCTCCTAAGATCTCTTGCCACTCTCCCCTTTGCTGGCTTCACTGCAACTCACCTGTACTCTCCTGCCTCGAAGCTTTTGTACCTGCTATTCCCTCTATCTGCAATGCTCCTCTACCAGCTAATCCTCATGCACCACACTCATTTCCTTCAGGTGTTTGTTCCAATGCTACTTACCAAAGAGGCCTTCCCTAATGATCTGTGTAACACAAATACCACTTTTTACTCCATTTACCCCCACTTTAATTTTCTTCACAGCATCTACACCAAGCCAGGTATGGTGGAGGGCAGCTATTATTCCAGCACTCTGGGAGGCTGAGGCAGAATTACCATGTTTGAGCCCAGCCTGGGTAACTTAACAACTTAAGGATATCCTGTCTCAAAATAAAAAACAAAAAGGCGCTGGAGATGTAGTCCAGGGTAAAGTGCTTAAGTTCAATCCCCAGTACAAACATGAAAAAAACAAAACACACACACACACACACAAAACCACTATTTATTACCATCTGATGTGCTACCTAGTGACTTCTTGCTGTCTTCCTTTATTCCTCTCTATGTCAGCTCCTTGTATGTTCTATTCACTGCTGTGCCCATGCTATAGTGGTTTTTCAGTTAATGAACTTAGTTTATTTTGCATTTTGTGGAAGACGACTGGGTTTGTGTTTTGCAGGGAAGACAACTACAGTTCTGTCATTCAATGTGGAGTTTGTGAATGGAAGCAAAATTTTCCAAACACTTTTGAGACCCAAATTGTTAAAGAACAGAAGCGTTCATGAACTGAGGTATTACTGTACCTAGAATGTTGCCTGGCACATAGTAAACAGCTGAACCTCTAAGATCCCTACTGCCCTCACTCACAACTCAACTCAAACTGGATGTTTACATACAAGGCACTTAATAAACATCCACTGAAAGGTCAAAGGGGAGCAGTAAGGACCATGGTGAAGATACAAGATCCTATCAACCAGCCTTAACCTTCTCAAGAGACAGAAAGATACATTTACCTCCAACTTCTTCCCTCCCTTCTCTACAGCACAAGGCAGCCACAGAAACGCAGCTTCTGAACAACCATGAAATGGGAGCCTAGCCACTCGTGCCAGCCGGTTCTCTGCCTGGAGGAGGCATGCGTCAGCTTATTCAGCAATCACCATATGCCAGCTGCTGGCACTCTCCACAGTCTGGGAACTGGAGACACACACCCTGAACCCAGAAGGCAAAGGAACAGGTCAAGACAGAGTGCACCCAAACTCAAGAATGTGGAAAGTAGATGGGGGAAAAACCTTTCTTACAAGTCAAAGCATGGGGTTTGGTAAGAATTTTAATTTTTTTTCAAAAACTTCTTCAGGCTTGTTTGTTTTTTTGTTTTGTTTTTCCTACTCAGTTTGCAGCAAATTCCAGACTAGTGCAAAGCAGCTAGATCAACAGCCCCTGGAGACCAAAGTACTAGTTTGTCCAAAAAAACAGAAACAATGAGTGGTTTAGAATGTTTCATCTTCAAAGGCCTCCACAGACATCCACTAATGAACCAGGTGTGGCACTCCCAGAAGGTTCCCCAGATGAGCCCTGCCCCTGACCCACAGGGCTCACAACCCAGGGAGCAGGCGTGACTCCACCTTAGGGCTCAAACCTCAGCCAAGCTGCCCACTAACTATCCTCCCTGCCTTTCCTGCCTCAACCCACCCAGACAGTTTCCTAGGGACCAGGGAGTGAGGCAGGCAGAGATACCTGTCAGCTAATAAAAGCCGACTGTTTCTAAGATATTATGATAGTCAGACCTCTGGTTCTGCTACTACCATCAACCTCATAGAAATGTCCATCTTCCACAAATCTTCCTTGTTTCTACGCTGTATCCTCCTCAGGTGGCCGTTCCTTCAGATTCAGAGATGATTCTTTGCTTTAAAGGTGCAATATCAGGGACTGGCCCAGATTCTTAACTAGATTTATACTACATATGTATCTTGTTGTCCTCCATTATTGGAACTGCTAGTTTAAATGAATACCAATGAGCCAGGCACACAGCTATAATCCCAGCACTTGGCAGGCTGCAGCAGGAGGTAGACTGAAAGTTCAAGGCCAGCCTGAATTCAAGACCACCCTGAATTATACAGTAAGACCTTGCCTCCAAAAATATGTTTTTAAAAAGGGCTGTGGATATAGCTTGGTACAAAGGTCCCTGGATACAGAGAAAGAGAGAGACAGACAGACAGACAGACGACCAATGTAAATATAACAATGGTAGCATATACCTATAATCCCAGCACCCGGGAGGCTGACCACCAGACCCAGATCAGGTTCAGCTTGGGCTACATAGTGAATTCAAGGCCAGCTTGAACTAAACAGCAAGACTGTCTCAAAAACGTAAAGAAAGAAACAGCTGACCCTGGTTTTTATACCTATTCCCTATTCCTAGCCACACATATTTGACCCCAGGACTGTTTCAGGTACACTAGAAAAGGAGTAGAACATTAGAATTGGTGGACCTTTTCTCATGTTACTTCATATGCAGTGAAGTTGATAAATATCTGATTACATATCTGTAGCAACTATCTTTTCCCCCGGGGCAGCCTAGGGCCTTAAAATTACTGGACATGATGATTTTTAATTATAATCAAGGGCTTGACTTATATGAGCATTCCAAAGGAGATCCTGGCTTTCTTCCCTTGGCTTTCTGTGCTTGTCTATCACCAGGTAGCATGCTGTCTCTACCACAATGGTGGCAGCTTTCAGTTTTTGCTATGAACACAAATCTCACTACAACAGCCAATTCTTACTTTCACCACAATGCATTCCTAAACAAAGCAATAGGAAGGAGAATGGTTAAAAATAAAATAAAATAAAATAAACCCTGTATTATTTCTGTATGCTCTATACAGCCTGCAGTTAACTCTCCCTGACCACAGATGGTCCTCCTGCATTGACCGGGCAGAATGCCAGGGCTCTAGGGCTGCTACAAACCAGGAATAGCAGTTAAAACTGAAGGTGAATGGTTCAAGATGAAAACTGGGATACAGTAATATCTCTACTAATAAAGATGGTTAATATTCTGCTTCACAGTCAGAAACTGTTATCATAAGTAAAAATAACAACAAGAGTTCCAAAACCATGCTCCAGTACAATGTACCAAGAATGGTTGATTTAAAGCTCATTGGAGGATGTCTTCACCTGAGAACCACTCCCTGCCCCACTCTCCACCCCTGCTGGACAAGCACACTGGTACTATAGCTGGCTGCTCACCCATCTTGGCTTGTGCCACAGGAACACACCTGACTCTCTCCAATTTTGGATCATAGCCCCCTCAGTCACATACACTACCATACCTTTGAAGGAACTTCTGATCTGACACCACCCCTCCTCTTCAGGGTCCAGGGAAAAAAAAGAGCAGAGTCTCCCAAGACGTCTGCTGCCATGCAGAGTATAGCAAAAGCAGCTGTGTTTCCAGATAATTTTCAAACTGAGATAAAAAAGCTATTTGTAGCACTGTAACCAAACAGGCCAATACAATTTAAGGAAACACAAGCAGAGTATGCCTGTATTTACATTTCGTGGTGCAACTGGCTTGACACATCTGTAAATTTCAAGATTTTTGTCTCAAAAGCATGGAAATCATAACACAAGAACTCCTGGATTAGTATCTCAGCAAAGATCTCCTAAAGCCAAGAAATCATTTCTGATTTAACCACCACTTATTCAACATTTGAAAGTATACTAAACCAGGGATACAGAGGAAAAAGGCTCTGCCTTCATGAAACTCAGCCTAGTGGGAAGTACTTGTAAGCAAAGATCTACAAAACAGTATGTACAGCAAGTTGTGGTGGCACATGCCTAATAGTCCATCCATCTGGGAGGCTGAGGCAAGACTACAGGCTGA